CGTTGATTACTCCCATGGATCTCATGGTATGTTTCTGTTCGTGGTACGTTAATCGCTTTGATTACTCCCATGGATCTCATGGTATGTTTCTGTTCGTGGTACGTTAATTACTTTAATTACTCCCATGGTATGTTTCTGTTCGTGGTACGTTAATCGCTTTGATTACTCCCATGGTATGTTTCTGTTCGTGGTACGTTAATCGCTTTGATTACTCCCATGGATCTCATGGTATGTTTCTGTTCGTGATACGTTAATTACTCCCATGGATCTCATGGTATGTTTCTGTTCGTGGTACGTTAATTACTCCCATGGATCTCATGGTATGTTTCTGTTTGTGGTACGTTAATCGCTTTGATTACTCCCATGGTGTGTTTCTATTCGTGGTACGTTAATCGCTTTGATTACTCCCATGGATCTCATGGTGTGTTTCTGTTCGTGGTACGTTAATCGCTTTGATTACTCCCATGGATCTCATGGTGTGTTTCTGTTCGTGGTACGTTAATCGCTTTGATTATTCCCATGGATCTCATAGTGTATTTCTGTTTGTAATACGCTAATCAGTTTCATGATTAATTTTCTATAAACTGCTTGTTTCTTATATTGTTAGTTAATTTTGAAAACAGGAACACAATGTTGTTTTTTTCTTGATCAACTACTTTTTATTTGTTATCGTTTTTCATAAATGCTGTTATCTTTCAGGTGAGAATCTAAATAAGTTTCACTGCAAAATGTATCTTACTAGATAGCGCGAACTCGCAGCTTTGACTTTTGTATATGCAACCCCAGTAACATAAATTTTTACTTCAAGGATAAGGTCTGTTTTCACCTCTTTCAAGTATAATACCAAATGACAGTTCTTTCCTTTCTCTTCATATAATTTGAATACGAACCGAGACAAAGAAGCGAACAAGCTAGAAATGCAAAGATACAGATTAGAAAGAAGCAGATAGCCGACATAAAATCGCGATAGAACGATATTATCAGAACTACATTTTGACATTGTTTGACGTTTGTAGGTGGTGTGATGCCATCGAAAAAGGAAATATATGAAAGAGGACTTTCCAACACAACATATTCTTACACTCAGAGCATAAAGTGTCTTCAGACTGGGAATTTAGAATTTCCGAGACAGGGCTATCCCTTGTACGTAATGCTATTGATAAAAACAGGAATATGGGTCAGCTTCGGGTACCAAGACTACCTAGAAAGAGGCCTGCAACAAGTCGTACCCTAGCCATGGTACACTCACGTCTTGTAACAAGTGAGAATTCACGAACACAGAGGTCAGTAGCAAAAGCTGTCCACGTTTCTCAGGCAACGTAATAGACAAGAGAAATTTTCGTCTGGAAATAACGCCAACAATATATGAGTTCACCAAGATAAAGTTTCCAGTCATACCTCCTATTCAACTGTCAAATACCTCAAGCAAGTGGAGAATGAGACAAGTATTCATGCTATTCCACATGAAGACATACCAGTCAAGTCGCCAGACGCAGCACCTATGGATTTTTGTGTGATTGTACTGTTGAAATGGACACTAGGAAATTGTCGCTCTCGTACACTAGATGGAAACCCCATTGGAAGTAGTTTTATGCTTTGGACATGATAGTCCTAAGTCGGAGCCTTTTACAATGGAAACTACATTGTAGGGCTATTGTCACGATGCACAGTAGTCAGACAGAGTACGACTGGACGTGATGACATGGATTGTAGTAACGTAGTGAGGACGCTAAACCGTTTTAATATAATGTATTCAACTTCTATAAATGCCACAAAAATCCTCGAAATTGTCTGTTTAATGGATGGTCTTCCTTTAAAACTTCGGATGCTTTTATCAGTATCTGTTATTTATTAACAATGGTTATTTATCTTTCTCTTCTAAAATATATAAACTAAAGTCACAACAGTGTATTTTGTAAAATAGAAAAAGGGAAATAATAAAACAAACTAATAAGTTTCTATGTTTTGTTACAAATAAAATCGAAAAAATCAATTAAGTATTTGTTTAATGTTTTTCAATAATGTCCTCTGTGTTTACATCTTTTTTTTTTTTTAATACCGAGTATTTTCGAATCTGTTTAGCTATTTGGTGTGCCAGTGATAATTAATTTCAACACAGATAAATAGGCTAGATTTAAAACATATCAACTAGATGGTAATTATTATTCACGAAAAGCTAGTTGTTCATAGACGTACTTGTTTACAGACAACAGCGAACGTGTTGTTTCTTTGTTTTGTAGATATTTCAAGCAAACTTACACTTACTCTGCTTAACCCTCCATAATTTTGAAATGATAAACTAGAGGGAAGCCAGTTTGTCTGTCAACAGCACCCACCGTCAACTCTTGTCTCAGTAAATAGTTGGATTTGACTGTTACTCTTATCGCGCATCTTTTTTTGTGGAAATGGGGCGCGAACCGTGAACCTTCGGATTCACAGTCCGGGGACGCTAACAAAAGCAAATAAATAATTAGATAGTAATTAGCAGTACCTTATTAACTCAATAAATTACATCCATAACTTGTAATGTAAACATCTGGAATAATGCAGTTATTTTCCCTTTCAATGTAACTTTTGCCAGTGAAAAGTAAACAAATATAACACACAATCGTTTTTTTTTTTGTAACACACAACTTTAATTACAATTTTAGAAGATATTGTTATAAGGCTAAGTCTAGAGAACAACAAAGGAGGGGGTGGTGGGTATTGTTACCTACACACTACTTATTTAAATTAAACGTTATAATACCCGATTACAACTTAAACTGCATGCAGATGAGCATGCCGTCATGAAAGAAGACTCTGGATATAATGTTTTTCTTTATTTGTTTGAAGAACTAGCATTGTGCAAGTTTAAAACAAAACCAAAAAAACACACATACATTTATCTCAGCCAATCATTTTTTTATATTATTATTTTGTTAGATTATTAAAACTTCAGCTGAGTTGTAATATATTTGCTTATTTCCGTCCGAAACAGGAAACGGCGTTAAATGCACACTGCTTCCAGTAAGATCGCTTCCGCTGGAGGTCGCTGATGTCTAGATTTTTACTGAGACGTCTTATCATTTGACGGGCGAACAAGTAGTTGATCAGAGCTGTATCCATAGTTCCGTCGTCATTTAACAGCTAGAATAAATTCGAATACATTAGATTAAACCAAAGTTTCTATTAACAAAAATTAAATTTTTCTGAAATTTCGATTACTTTCTAGTTTCTAAATTTTCGACCTTTTCAGTCTGAAAAAAAAAGACTGATATAAAAACACTATTTATTTAAAGTCATTGGTTAGAGACAATGAGCTCTGACGGAAATATGAAGTATAATTAGCCAACAAAGCTTGGATGTTTATGTCAGACTTTTGACTGAGCCACCCCACCCCCAGTTGCACAGCGGTATGTCTGCGGCCCTACAACGATAGAATCCGGGTTTCGATACCCGTGGTGGGCAGAGCTCAGATAGCCCATCGTGTAGCTTTGTGCTTAATTACAAACAACCAAATTTGACTGAGCTCTGGTGACAAAAATCGTCATACTCTCTCCATCTGCAATTTTAAAACTAGTGCAAACTAAATTTTTTAATTGATTAATAAAGTCTGTGGCTGCGTTTGATTTATCTCATTCATAAGAAAATGCCAATGTTTTTGTATAAGTCATAGCACTAATTGTCCCACGATAATAATAATATCGCTTACGTGCTCGCTACGTAAATACTTATGCAGGTACGGACCATTAGAGGGCGGAGAAGGACGTCGTTAACCTTTTTATCTGATACCGAAAAAGCCACTGTTGGACTTGTCAATTATAATTACAAGCAAAAATACCCGCCCTCTGGGCAGGTATAACTGCTTGTTCTTGCGGAAGGCTATCGGGTCTGCGGCCTTTTCTGGAATTATCTGACAGTTCTACAACAATGTACTCATACTTGACATTCAATAATGTTCACCATCCATGAGAAAAAGGGCTTTATTGAAACTTTAGTTTAAAAATGAGCTATCATCACAGACTAGATTTGATTGAAGTATTTATTTGTTGACACAGTTATCAATGAAAATGTCTTGTTTTTCTGTTGTAACACTCATGAGATTTTCACTAAAGAAAAACAAATAATTTTTTTTAAGTTTGTTTTTTGATTGTTTTTTTCATATTTTTTATAATTTTTTTATATTTGGCCAGGTGGTTAGGGCGCTCGACTCACAATCTGAGGGTCGCGGGTTCGAAACCCCGTCACACCAAACATGGTCCAAGCCACCCAGCTGGATCGAGTTTATTATGTTATTAACTGTTAGCGCTGATAGACCTTCCAGCAGTTCCTATAGTCTCCAAGCCACTCAGGTCGATCAGACTCGTCACGTTACTCAAATTAATTATTATCCGCCACCCCAAAACCATTTTCAATATGAAGCGATTGTTATTGATACTGCCGATGTTCATTAAGTATATAATATAGTTTCACTTAGAAACCTCAAGAAACACTTTTAAGCCTAAAAATTTGGTCCATAACTTTATCGGCTTTTTGAACCGCATTTTTCTTAGTTGATTACAAGTTCTCTGACAATATATCAGTCAAAAATAAAATGTATACAAAATATACCATCAATATCCCAATTAATTCTACTAATTCTATTGGTGAGACTCCCTATGTATTTTACGGGGAAAATATGTGACTCCACTTTTTCTTGGTAGTTCTTAATATTGAGTCTTGTAGATGGAAAAATCAAAAGTTACTCAATATAATGCGATATATAAACGCCACTGATATTAAGCGGTGAAAAAAAACAACAACAACAAAAAACAAAACAAGTCAGTTTTGTTTGTTCTTAAGCAAAACAGTTTCGTAATGGGCTATCTATGTTATGCCCACCATGGGTATAGAGACCCAACCACCAAGTGACTCAGCTGTAAATTTGAAAACTTATAACGCTAAAAACCAAAACAAGTCGGTAATTTGAAGATTACAGATATAAAATAATATCTTAATATAGCCGAGATAGCTTATCAAATTATATATATAGGTGAACTTAGAAACGTAAAATCAACTTGAATATATTTAAGTGCAAAAAATGTTTTGAGTTATCCACCCTAAAGTTATAAAGTGTACTTTAATTTGATAAATCCATTAATGAAGTATGCTAATTAATACTCGTCAATTCCATCTTTGAACAGTTCGAGGTAATTGAATAGGGCGTAAAATATTGCGAAATGATATTAAAGGAACGATATTCTTATTACAGGAACAATATGATAATAAAAAAAAGAGTTGCTAAACTATAGATTTCTGTAAAAATTGTATCCGTAAAATAAAAACTTCTCTCCATATCTGGATGAATAACCTACACGTCTATCTACTTAATTTCTTCTCTCTCTCCATATCTGGATGAATAACCTACACGTCTATCTACTTAATTTCTTCTCTCTCTCCATATCTGGATGAATAACCTACACGTCTATCTACTTAATTTCTTCTCTCTCTCCATATCTGGATGAATAACCTACACGTCTATTTACTTAATTTCTTCTCTCTCTCTATCTATCTAAACTTTATTTGAATTATAGTTTTTTCTACCTAAAAATGCCTCTCCTCCCAGGCTTATAGCGCTAAAAACCAGGTTTCAATACCCGTGATGGGCATAACACAGATTGTCCATTGTGTAGCTTTGTGCTTAACAACAAAGGTTAAGGACACCTTTTGATCTGTCTAATTCAATGCGCTTTAAATATCTGTCAACATTATTTTATTTTGTTAAATAAATACCAATATTGAGAAATCCATGAAGAATAGATTATAAATAACTTTTCAGGCTTTTAACGTGAGTACTCATATTTGTATGAAGTAACTTATTTGGACTACAAATACGCGTTATAATATGCAGATTGTCCCATAGGAACAATGTTATAAGTCGGGGATGCGTTCCTGAAAAATTATTTTTCCCTTAAAGTCAATTTTATTAATGTTATAAACCACTTTTACAAGTTATTATACAGCAGGATTCTGTCAGATTTCAAGTACAACAAAATTTAAAGGGAACGATGCGGATGGCTTTCTTTGAGATCGCATTCTCCGCGCTCTATAGCGATATTAGCTTATATCGACAGGCTTCTGAAACGTACCTGAACGACGTCACAGTTTCAAAATTCACTTCAATGTGTTATGAAGTTTATAATAAGCCGATAAGAGATCATTGGGAAATTATAAAAAATATTTCCTGTTAGAATAATTGCATGGCATGTTCTTAACAAAACATGCATTTAAACTTTGAGTCTTTTACTAATTTACTTGAATTTTGCCTCGTTGAGAACAGTTTCCTTCCGGGGACACGGCTTTAAAATCAGTGTCGTCTTGGGTTACAGTGCCTTATTCTAGCGTTCAGAATACTGATAAGAAATTATATTAAGCCTATTAGCAGCCTGGCTAGAAACTCCAAAGGTTATTTTACTGTACAGTCTGGTGTAAAGCAGTAATGTTGACTTGGGGGAGGGGGTCATGTTTAGGTCATATTACAAACACGAAAAAACTAAAATGTACGAGAGTTGATTCCACTCAAAGAACTCCTAGGGGAACAATGAAGTTGTATCTGTGGTTTATTGCGTATTTTGACTTCAAAGAAAAATATGCCATTTAATTAAGATATGTACAAGACAGCATGAGTTTCGGAATCTTCTAGGCCTAGATTTACGTAACCAAATCTATTGAAAGTATTATGTACTACCAGAATTATTTAAGTTCTCCAGGGTTTCGTATTCCCTGCCTCATCTTTACAAAAATACTGCTACTTCCTTTATATATAAGTGTTAAAGTCTTTTTTCTTTTTCACCAAAGGTAAAATTGAAAAAGATAATCTGTGATGTAATAGCCTAATGCATTTCTTGATTGGCCGTATCCTTTACTGTGGACTGCAGTTTCGCCTATTCAAGGCTCATCTTCACAGCTTGGGTCAGCAAATCAGAAAAATACAGTTAGGCCTAGTATAATGGTAAGTGTATATAACATTTATTAGGTTTTGGGTCTGTTTTAATTCATCATACACTCACATATTCTCTTTTAAGTTTTACCTTTGATGAAAATGAAAAGAAACCTTTAACACACACACACACAATATATATATATAATCATTAAACGGTTGGTCTGATGTATATGTGAAATAATGACTTAGGCATAATAACATACATTATTCACATACCTAAAATAAATTAGATTACTGTATGGTAGATTTAAAATGACTCAAAACGTCCTAAATGTTGCTTTCTTTACATGTGCCTATGAACTAACGTTAAATAAGCACTTACACTATTTCATCATAAGCATAAATAAGGTACTTATGTAGTTAATGAAAGCTGAATTTACCAGAAAATATATCAACTCTGCTTTGTTGTGAGTTACGTTTTTACCTAATATAATCTAGGTAACTGTTCTATTGTTGCTTATATATTCACTTTCTGTGAGTAAGGTACACGGTCTTCTGGTTATGTCTAACTTATATCAACCAGATACACGTTTATATTATTATTTACTTCTATATCTAACTTTCATCAACCAGACAGAAAGCTTGTCTATCTTATATTAACTAGATTTAGTAGATACACGTTCTTATTATTACTTACGTCTATATCCAACTTGGATCAACCAGACACGTTCATATTATTACGTACGTCTAACTCATTTTAACTAGATACACGTTCTTATCATTACTTACGTTTATACGTAACTTATATCAACCAGACACAAATCTTATTATTACGTACGACTAACTTATATTAACCAGATACACGTTCTTATTATTATTTACGTTTATATACAACTTAGATCATCTAGGAGCTCAGTTTTATTGTTTTTTACGTCTAGAATAATTACTCGAAGAGCAACAAGCTATACAATTCCATTGGTACTTACGTCTAAGTCTGAAGGATAAAGTGTCTTTTCTTTCTCCCCAATGCTTTTGGCTTCAGTGGTGGTCAAAAGAAAGACCGCAATGATCAAGAAAATACAGAATTTCATCATGGTAGCCATTTTGTGTCGATGAAAACTAGTTAAAAACAAACAAGTAAAAAAAAAACGAAATGTTTCAAACATGTAAAAATGTAGCCGTTAAACCAATAACACGAAGTCAGTTTGCAAGGACAAGGATTGCAGATAATGGAATACACATTGCTTAAATGTCACGATCGAAGAATCAGCCCTTAGAAAAAATGTAAGATATATGGTCTTCCCTTGATTAACTTTGATATTCATACTTCCTCGAAGAAATGAAAAAACATCAACACAACAATACAACCTTACATCCATAAAACTCACCTATAACTCTTTTATTTTAACCTATGTAACCTATTAGTTAAATTCCATTGCCTAAGTAGGAAGTCTCTACCTTTAAACTTGATGACGAAAAACCCATTTTTTAGAAAATAAAAGTTTGGAGACGACCTGAGGTTATCTTAGGACATGAAAAGTTACTTA